CAATGTATGCCTCCATGTTACCTGATACTGCCTTCCAGCAGCCCCCTCTCAGCAACAGAGTTTCCATTAAATACTAGACTGGTGTGGCACAAAGTTCCTGGCTAGACTTATGACCCCTTTATGTCATTGACTCTAATAACCACATGGCTGAACCAGCCTCCAAAACTAGCAATATAAAAACCCCTGCTAATCTCTCCCAAAGTCAGTTGATCACAGATCCTCTTCAGGAGTCAGAGATTCGTTTAGGCTTCCCTCCAGACACATTGTCTAGGTTTTGTCTGAGTTGTCTTTGTGCTTGAATAAAAGTACTTATTGGGTGAAAAGCCTGTCTATTTTCTTGAAGGTCTCGCGTCGTTGGAAAACACCTCTCCGCGATCAAGGGGTTAAGAACCTCTAAAAGAGCCAGACACTCTTTTAACGTTCCCTTAGTTTTACTCATTTTTGTTGCCTTTTAAAGTAAAAATAACGTAAAAAGGATAACAATATTGTAAAATTAATCAACTTTAATGATCTGTGGTCATAATTTTCCTCATTGCAACAGTGGTCCATGCATTTGGTAATTTATACTTGAGCCACATGGATAATTTTTTTCTGAACGAATGATACTTCTAATATTGCGTCTGAAGATTTCGATAATTTCTGTAATACCGTAATACGTGAGTACTTATTGCATTTGTTTAGTACATAAATTTAATAAGTTTTTCCAGCAGTCCTATGTTTACTCAAATTTGAAATATCATCCATTTTGAGACGCACCTGGATTCAATTGTTGAAGGAAAATGAACGAATTTAATAAATCATGACTACAGGAGTTTCAGTCGGAATTTCTTCTCAATCATATCATTCAATTACCTGCGGGATGATCCTTCATGTAAAATCTCAAACTTCTAGAAAACTCAAAGGAATTCAGATTTCAAACTCTTATGACATAAAACTGAAGATTATCTTGAGCTTCCGTTTCATTTAATTTCCTGATTCATTTATACAGTTCAGTACTGTACAGTATTAAGGTTTTTTGGTCCAGTGATAATCACACCTAGTCATGCCACATATTTTTGAGTTTTGACTGAAGTAACATTGAATATACTGTACATTACTTAAACATTTCAACAAATATTTTCCATCAAAATCTTCATAACAAATACAGTATTTTCCAGCAGAATCATCATAAAAATATTTCGCATCAGAATACAGTGCCGCGTTTTTTTTTTTTTTTTTCTGTTGAAGTCCAGAAGCAAAGTTTTTTTAGGAGACAGCACGGTACTGTAATTCGTTGTTTTTGAAAATTAAATTGCGTTCCAATCATATAACTTTATCACTACGTAAATTGAATTTTTGCCAGAACCTTGAAATAAATTCTTGCTGGTGAAAAATGTATGGTGAGGGCATGTTTGTCACAATAGAAATTTACCCGTTTACCATATTCATAAAGTCAACAGTGTTCGATCATCATCATCGATATATTCGATGATCTGGACTTAGGAACGGCGCCCGCCAGAAATTAATCCTGCTAATTGGAGTTTTACTGCATGCAGACGATTTCTCGGCCTTAACAAAGAGCCACGTCACCGCTTTTCTCGGTCAGTGGAATATTTATGGAAGATATTCGCGAGATGATATGCTGAGATGGGAATGGGATTTCCTAGTGGGCTATTTTTAGCAGCGTCCATGAAAACCTTGTAAGCAAGAGAGACGTCGCCCTAGAGACAGAATTTCCACAAGGACACGCTGGCTCGATGGTTCGTTGCCACGACTCAGCTGACAGACAGAGAACGAAGGTACAGTAAAATGTATATGTATGGTACGGTGTATGGGTAACGTCCACGCGCCGACGCGAGGAACCCAGTTCGTGTAGGAGGGCAGAGACAGAGAGAGACGGATCTATAGGAAAGAGTTGGAGAGACAAGGAAAGGAGGAGTTGAAGAAAAGGCGGCGGCATCTGTTCCTGTCAATGGATGCCTCATTAATTACGGTCCGTCGCCTTAAGAAAAGGGATTTTACTGGCTGCTAGACGCCACCCCAGTAATGCAGAAGCCCTCACCTTTTTTTCGTCTGTACCCATTGCTTATCTATTCCCGCACAGATCAGATTTGATGCATTATCCGGACAAATTTTATTCGCCACGCAATTTCTCAAAGCGGGGAATCCAGGGCGGAAATAACCGAAATTACTTGTAGAGTGACTTTAAATACATGAAGATGAATAAAGATAAGTGGGGCCCCGAGATGCGGACGATACTTTCCGTTCAGGCCTTTATTTTCCCTTTGGACAAGGTCTGAGCCAGAATGTCTGCATGTCGAATGGGTGTAGTCCAAAAGCCCCCCTGCCAGAAGCCCCCCCCCCTAGGTCAAAACCCCCTGGAAGCCCCCCCCCCTGCCAAGAGCCCCCCTAGGTCAAAAGCCCCCCCTGCCAAAAGCCCCCCCCCACTTTTACAGTTCACCTTGTTGATCCAATGGCTGGTGCACTTCAGATCATCAAAAATCAGAAGGGTGGTGAAAAGGCATACTACAATGGCCTTTTATTCATTGTTAAGAGCACAAATGCCAGTACTAGGTGCTGGAAATGTGCTTATGAAGAAGAATATGAGATAAGAGGGCCACACCAAGAAGAAAATGACATTGAGAGCATCAGTGACACTGAGGAAGAGGCTGCAGAAGGCAATTTTGAAGACGATCTTTTAACAGTCATTTTGAGGACTAATGAAACCAGGCAGCCCTTCTCAGAGCCACCAAACACTTATAAAACTTGCATAAAAAAGTGTGGGGGGGGGCTTTTGGCAGGGGGGGCTTTTGACCTAGGGGGGCTTTTGGCAGGGGGGGGCTTTTGACCTAAGGGGGGTACCTTTCGAATCACGTTCTTCCGTACTTCACTGCGAGTGCAAACATTTAAACAAGTTTCATTTTAAATGCATACACATTCGTTTTCCTGTTCATCCAAACTCAGGAATAAGTCTCCAAGAATTTGGATGAATAACGTCTCAATCTCAAGATACAGAAAATAAGTGTGCAGAAATGTTTTTTTCAAAGTCTGATCTATTTGGATAAAAAGGAGCACAGAAAGCACAAAACAAGCACTGTTTTCCTATACTGTGCACAGATGATGGAAAGAACTCTGAAAGAAGCACAAAATTAGCCTGTTTTGAACTATGGATTATAGCCATTTAATAATGTTTATTTGTAATTTTTGTGATGATGAAACCCTCAATTTGTTTGAGGTATCAAAATGTTGAAAGGTATTATTTTTCCCTTTTTCTAGAAAGTTCAAGAAAGTGTTGCATTTTCGAGAATTTTTCCAGATGTTGGGGCAGATTTCTTTCTTTTATAGTTTCAATGGTTCCCAAGTCAAATCTATCATCCAAATGTCAGGGCTTTCAGTTTTGGGGCCTTAGCTGTATTACTACAGTTGAGTCATAATGATTCAAACCCCCTAAGTTCAATACTTTGTGAATAATCCCTTAAACTCAAATACTTCCCCAAGTAAAATTTATCCCAAGTGCCTGTCTGAATTCTCTAAGAAACAATGCATTAAAAACCTTCATATCTCAAAAGCTTTTCCTCTCAAACCCTTTAAATGTTCTGTGGCCTTTCGCTTTTATTTTCTTGACACAGGAAAGAGATAAGCACTAAAAAATAACAGTATGTTGCCCTGAAAGGAAGTGAAAGACTAAATTGGGAAATAAACCCTGCCTCCAAATTCAGGATCCAGTCAGCTCATTTAATAAGAAATTTACGGCCCAGAAGATCACGATTTACAAGTTTCTGTGATCTTTCCCATTAAAAAATATGCTTGTTTCCTCAACTTAAAATCTTTTACAGTACAGTATTTTGCTGGTCCCTCAAAATTTAAAACCCTTGGAGAGGTTTGACAAGTACTTAAAATGATGCACTGCCACAAAGGCCACAAATTTGATGCTTCATTGTTTTATAAACTGAATCTGTCTCTATCAAGAAAATGGAGAATCGCGTGACATTGACGTTAGCAGCGTTTAATAAATTTGTCACAAATGTATTCAAAATTGAAAGTTTCTTGCGTTATTGTATTCAGGAAGAAATATAGAAGTTCCGCATCTTTTCATGTTTCACCTACATGTTTTCACGACAAACAGGACGTCGCCAGCATGCCTTGAGGCTGATTCTAGACAAAAGCCAGAACACAGCAACACAGTCCCCTCAAATAATCAAAATCCAGAGGGGTTACATTTTTCTCTGGAGCATTTTCCCTCAACCATTTCTAAGCCAGTGAATGATTGAACGTCCATAGCATAGTGCCTGTCCTGAGCTTGCAGCCTTCTACTCATGCAATGATTTATTATTGACCATTCGTTCCTACGGAATGCCAGAGGGAAAGATCAAGGGACTTTCAAAGGAAGAGGGCGATTGCAGTAGAAACAGAAAAATAACCAAATAACCTGTTGGAGGCAGGCAGCAAGGGTATGATTTCGACTTCGATTTCCAGGTCATCTGCAAGCCTCTTTATTGAAGTCTTTCCTATGCACACCTGCATCAATTTGAACCCCGATACATATCCTACTCGATCTCTACAGTCTACACTGGATACTTATAAAGAGCACTTATCATGAGAATAGCGTGAACATTCACCAGCTTGTCTGGATAGCATTTTGGCCGCAGTGTTACCCAACCTGTGGTCCACAGACTGGCGCTGGTCTGCAGAGGTTTTTTGCCAGCCCGCAATAAGTTTTCTATATAGCACACTAAATTTATCAAAGTTAGCGATCAACTCTGTCATTTTTGTGTGGCATTTTTGGAATATTATGGTGGTTGAAATTATCTTATGAAAAATAATGGTTGGCTTCTCTCCTAATATCACTTCAGACAAATTTTTACCAATTCAAAAAATTATGTAAATTTTTCACTCTGAGAAGCACATTTGTACAAAGGTAAAAAATCTTTATTGAAGTATATCACTCAGCCATAATTAAATGCCGGAGATTTCTCCTTAAGATCGGATCCCTTGAAAATTAGGATTCTGGTTTTTTTCCGGGAAAAACCCAGCCTTTTAATAGGAGGCTTCAAATGAGCAAAATGAAGACCTATCTGTACGAATTTTCACAATAAAAAAATGTTTCACTGCGTTTTTCACATGAATGATCAAGTGAACAGATCTTCACTGCGGTTTGCATTTTTTTTGCTTTAGTCATGCTTATTCACGCTATGAAAACTACAAAAAAAAACGTTCAAGTAAGTTCAATCGTTGGCAAGTTCTTTGAAAAAATGAGCGACGTTGTTCTAGAAAGCTTTTCGGATGACTCAGATTGTCGATGCGCCGAAAAAAATTCAATAGGCAGATACATAAGTGTAGAAAGAAATATCGATGTGGTCAGGATCGTGGAGATTTTCATCGTACAGTAATATGTCGTTATTAGTGATTAAAAATAACGTGTAGAAGTGCCTAACAGTACATGCGTACAATATTATAAATGTTTTTCGTCCCATAAGGTATCGCATCAGCGCACGCCGACTAAACGAAACTAGAAGATTTCTAAAATTCGATTTCATTCGATCGCTGATGAGGAGAGTTATACGAATTTCATCAAGACTTTTCGAATGCTGCTGCTGGGGTAAAAAGATGTGTATTCCGAAGGGTTCCAAAGAATTCATTCGACGATAACAAATCCAATCGAAATCGCAGCAGGCAGTATACGTGAGGCATTTATTTGGCCACGAAAGAATCGCACCGTGGAATTCCATCACGCCGATGGCAGGCTAGTTGCACATGTTATCTGGAGATTCAAAGTCTATGGGTACCAATAACAGAATATAACAAGAGCCACATGTCGCAAAACATCGAGTCAAATATAAGCGTCCCTTAAGCTGGACGGAGCTAGTATAGAAGCAGCAGCTCTGCAAATGTAACCCGACGATTTTGCTGCGAAACTGAGCTAGGCGTACGTTTCTTCGGCTTTCATCGTTTCCGCAGAAGAGCGGCAGGTAAAGTTAAAAACGATTTAACCCTAGCTGCGAAAGCAGATGACGGCTATTTCTGCACCGACGCACGGCTTCCACGCCACCGACGAGACCAGCCTGAAAAACACGGGTTATTTTGATATCGTCAGTATAGTCAGACAGGATTATTTTTGCACGACGACACACGTCAGGCAAGCTCAAGGATTTCTAGGAAAATCGTTCAAATATTTCCTGGTTGATTTTCTTCCAGAGCGACTTTCATTTATCCATGTTCTCAATGCATTTTCTTGCGGCGGCTGTGAAAAGGCGGCTGTTGAGGAAAATGGCGGAATTACCTTGGAAGACCTGGAGGCAACCCTGGGAATTAATGCCAGGTTGATTTCGAAAATTCTGAGGGGGAAGCTAAACTAAAAAAAAAAAAAAAACTGCAGGAAGGGCGCCTCATCTGTTGAGTGAAGAGAAAAACTCTGCCAGGGTAAATTTTTCAAAGCATTAATACAATTGTCAAACATCAGGGCTGATTTTTTTTTGGTGCCAAAGAATATGTTTTCCCTAAAGAATACTTTTTTCAGCTCCATTATATGCCGTTTCATTTCTAATCCGAGAACTTTTGGTTGAACCCTCGTATTAGGATACTGTAATTAGGAACAACAAAATGCTGGAATCACTTTTTGGACGTGGATAACGATTTGTAGCTCCTAACGATCTATTCTATGAGGTAGGGGCCTTTTGGAAGCTTAGATTAACTAGTATTTAGCTTTCTTCTAATAGCTATACCTGTTAGATCTTACATGTCCAACGGGGCAATATTGTCTGCAAGGAGTTCGCACACAGATGCTGGACATGTGGTGAAATTCCTTCGTGAGTCTCAGAGAACATCAATCTTCTTAATTGAATCGGCAACCCGGGATCGAAATATAGCGGAAAACGAGATAAAATTACCATTCGGGTTCTCCGGGGTGAATGGGTTGGGTGGATTAGGAAAAATAAATATATACAGTACATATAATATAACCCATGTCAATGGACAGCTATATTTATGCAATGATCGCTGTTTGACTTTTCCGTGCTAATCGTAGAGTCGTAGCTTTGGATTAGTTTTTACGTCAGTGTGAGGATCTACGACGTTGATTAACGACCTTGCGTTGCGTGGGAGGAGAAACCTATGCTGGAAAAATAATATGCCTCTATTCAATATAACTGTATGTGTACAGTATTTATGAATGAAATGGTTCGTCAGGCGGTCACAAGTGTTTGTGACGGGTTTTCTTGTTTGATTGGCGTTCATTACGACAGTCGTGGTTTCAATGACATAATGTCACCGCATAATTTACGTTTGTAAATGCAATATCGCATTTGCGTTCGGCATGTTTCTGCGAAGTGTATAAAGATATAAGACGTGGTATTGAACTGCGTATAGCGTTTATGGCGTCATCTCAATTTCAAAACACCACGTTTAAAAATTTTTATATCTCAAAAACATGTTCGTTTACAATTTTCGTATTTGTTCGAAGAAATACTACAGCATTTATACGCGTTGGAGTGCAGCATTCATCTCCAAATTAAATTTGTAAAAAAGCCACGATTAAGTTATGTTGAATTTAACTGGCCCTGCATCGATCTGAGATTCTACAGGGAATGATATTGAGCATAAATTACAACGTGCACAAAACTGATCTTGAGATACTGTACTGTAATCGCATACACTAACGAATTTGAGAGAGCAGCTCAGGAAAATATTCATGCGTAGCGTCATTGATTGCAGCACCTGGAATACTGTCCATTTCTTTCCTCACATTTTCTTGACGCGGTATTTTATTTTGAAGCCGGGGAGTTTGCTAATATAGTGAGCTAGGAACTTCTACTAACAGACACAGCAAAGATTAGCAGGCTAAAAGGGAGTGGGCTCAAAAGACGGACTTGACAAAATAGCCGCTTTGCAAACGGGGAACAAAGAAGTCTAAGCGGATAAGTACTCGTCAATATACTGAACATCTGCGCCAGAGTACTTGAAAAAAGTACAGGAACCTTACTTGTCCACAGAATCCACGAAAGGCAGTCGAATCTTTGTCTTCCAAGAGCTGGCTTTTCTTAGAAAGACGGAACCTTTTTCCCAAAAAATGATCTGACTATGTTGTTCATATCTGTCTTGTCTGGATAATTGAGCTTGAAAAAGTGGACTTCGCGGGAATCGTAGGCTTTTTCCCCCTTTTCTTGTTGCAGCTAAAGAATATGCATCGGAAAATGAATCGAGCGTGTTTCTAAGAGCACAAAATAAATTGATACGCGTTTTCTAGGTCTAGGTCGGATCTCGTAGGCATAATGATATTATGCTTAAAAATATATAAAAAGACTCGAATGAGATTGGATAAAGATTATAGAATCTCGAACTACTGTAGAACAAAAATACAACAGAACCTGGTTTTCATAAAAGACCGAAAACGAGACCTAGGTTCCAGTATATTTTATCCTCAAGGCCTCAACACAGATGGAGCCGTCCAAAAATGTACCCAACCAAAGTCGGATAACAGAGGACGACAGGACATCTTGTATCCAGATATTTCTATGTATAGTTTGACTTTGCTGCCCTTTGAGATGACATAGAACTTGGCTTCAGGGCGTTCTGCTGGGAAATTGCAGACCAATTTCAATAGAAACCCGTATTGTAATGGAAATAAAAGTTGAAATTTACTTCAGTACACGATCAACTCACGTCCAAGTCCAAATTTGAGTTCACTTATTTTTTGAAAACTTGCAGTTTCAGGCATTTAAAGTCACTAAAAATGGGGTGCTCTCCTTACTTTGGGTTCGGGATCACATTTTATTAAATTTTTAACTTGAAAACCCTCACGTGCGTCTAACTCGAGGATACGTGGTATAATACTTCAGTATAAATACGCTTTTAAACCAGCATTCAACCTCAGAGATGTCTAATTATTTGCTTCACAGACCCCCACCTCGAGGATTTGTTCGACAAATTGAACCATATGAAATTGCCAAATCTTAAAGCTCATTGAGAAAGAGTATCTCACCGGCATATACGTTAAAAGAAGGTGGTGTTTGGCGTCCTGTTTGTTTATGGAATTTGAGTTAAATTATAGCCTAACATATGAGTGTCTTCTTTCCGTCTCGTTGGGTTTCTACGACCGCCTGGTTCCTATAACGTGTATCTCCAGCATGACTCCTCCAACAGCTGGTCCAATGAACTCCCTGCAAAAAAAAATATATCGGATTGTATACTCACAGAAGAAAGGCAGAGCAACCCAAAGATGCTGGCGGACCAAGGATATTGCACATTCTCCAGCATGACTCCTCCAACAGCTGGTCCAATGAACTCCCTGCAAAAAAAATGCAATGTCTATATTTTATAACGAATCCATACACAGTACACTAGTACAGTATATTCACCCAAACTTATATGAGAAGCGTATGTGATGTCACAATCGAAACAAATGAAGCCTTTGCCGAAACCCCCCCCCCCCCCCCTCCTCAGAAAATATTCTAGAAATCTAGAGTTCTAGACAAACTTTTCAAAACTCACCCGAAGGAATAAGCCGATTGCCAGATCCCGGCGACTGAGGAGTACATCGCAATGTTCACAGCATCGTCTTCATCTTGCGGACTTCCAAGGTGTAAGATGAAATGAGGAGTGAAAAAAGAACACATTTAAATCAATATTAGCAGCAAAAGAATTCGAAAGTTTGTAAGGCTGCTTCTTATCCGCAATTTATAAAATGTAGTCTTCATATTTTACAGAAAAACGTCGCATTAATCCTCTGACTAGGATAGTAATGAAAAAAGAAGTCTGAGTGAATCAGGTAAGCCTTGGAAAATTGATTTCGAAGTATGCAAACTCTTCATGAGTATATAAAGAGCTGCCTGTACGAGATATGCTTAAATTTATTATTTTTCTTTCGATCGTTGAATACTCTATTAATTTTGAAAAATTCCCTCTGAAACTGAAAGAATCTCCCGGACAGTTGAAAGTCCAATTCACGGGTAGCGGAAATAAATACGAAAAGCAGTCAAAATTGCATTTGACATGCAAATTTTGGCAGTCGAAAATCTGCTGAATGGATTTTAAATTTTTTTCAGTAAGATTCTTGACCATCATTCACCAAATCTGTCAAATATATTCTTATTTCAAAATACTTGGTCTCCGCGCGAATCTTCAAGAGGTGGCCTCGGATGAGAGCAGGACATGCCTATTTTGATCGTCACTTATATTTAGCTTTGATTTTTAGAAAACTGGTTTTATAAATCTTGGTACACAAAGAGGTTAAATTCAATGTTAACCCACGCAGTTAAATGAAAAAATATTTGAAAATAAATTGAAAATCGGCATTATTTTATGATCATTCTACAGTGATTCGCGCAAGATTCTGACTCAGTAACTACAGACAGAAATTTGAAGGTAAGTGCACATAGTGTTCGTAAATCAGTTGAACCATGTACCTCAAGCTGTCTTCAAGCACCAATAAAAAGTTGACTTCAACTCATTAAATCAGTGCCATCAGCACTGCTCCCAGTAGATTTTGGCTGGATGCGCAAATGGACGCCTGACTGACACACGAGCGATTGGCCTTTCAAGCCTTGCCAGTTCTTTTATTTTGTTATTTTCAACAAAGCTAAATATAAGTGACAATCAAAATAGGCATGTCCTCTCATCTAAGGCCACCTCTCGCAGAAGATTCGCGAATAATCGATCCTGCTGCAGATTCGCCGGAACACGGAGATAATTAAATACTTCCGCGCAACTCGCGGGAGAGAATTTAATTTCCTCCTTCCCTCGGCGCAGCAGGGATAATAAGAGAAAGCCACCTACGGATGTCAAGCACAGCTGATGAAATCTATACGCACCCATAGGTTAGCTTGTTATACCGCTTACAGCCCTACTCACGCTTCCGCTTGCTCTTCGGGTAGTCGCACTCTCGCTAAGGTAAGTTGGTATACCACGACGTTCCTTTTCCGTTAAAAGGCCGAGTACCGAGAGATCAGAATGAATCTGGTTTTCGTGATATCCGAAAGAGAGGTTTATTAGGGAAAAAGCCAACTTCCGGGCATTAAATAGAGCACGCATAATGTTCGCCAAAAAGAATTGCTTTTCCACAAGTTGCAACTGCTTCCGGCAGGGTAATAAACCTCCGCTGGAGACCATGAAAAAGTTCATCCGCATTTACACTCTATTATATTCATATCACATAGCCCATGATATTCTGAAATTCTTGGATTTTTTTTTAGTTTTTCAATTTACTGCTCAATGATAAGTGGAAACTTTCCAGTCACATTCAGAATTCTCCACCCATGCCACTGGTTGCTAAAAATTCATCAGACTATAGGTAGAAAAATTGAATTTTGCTGTTTTTTGCAGAAATAAATTCATTCATGTACATTTAGAAACAAGGCTTTTAAAGTCACTGTTTGCACTGAAAGCTGGTACATCATTGAGAATTCTGGCATGAAGGTTTTCCAGATTCTCATCACCAAAGAAACGTTAGGTTTAGAAAAGCAAGCATATCTCAAGATCTGTTGATTGGGTCAATTTTTGAATGATCAAAGAAAAATGAAGAACATCTTTAACTTAAATTTAAGTTGTTGCAGAATTTTTTAAATGTAAAATTCGCAGAGTTATTTGCTTCAGAAGTTTGCGCGTTGGGAATTGCACCATAGGCAAAGCATGTTTTCTTTGCTGGTTTTATTTATTTTTGAAGGCAAATTTTTGCTGCACAATCTGAGATTGTATTTGCTGATTGTGTGATTGTTGTCCTCATGAAACCTGTGATCAGAGATAATAATGAAGTCCTCTTTTAACATACAATGAGTGAGGATGCTCCAGCTTACCTTATTTCTGCAGCCATAATTTAATTTTGCATTTTAAAAATTAAATTCCCTTGAAGGCTGGGTAACTGCCTAAGCACTCAGATATCTCTTGCATCTGGAATATTTTTAATGCAGCTTAAAATCTGTAATAGCTGTTGTTTTACCCATTATTTAAAATGTAAAAAGACAGTAGGTAAAAGAATAACTAAATTAATTTTGTATCCAGCCTGACACGTTTTATGCATTCTGTGACATGGATATGGAACTCTGGCTGTAACTGGCAAGTTTTTATCTATAATCAAACAGTATGATCAAAAAAATTGCTTATAAATGTGACAAAAATCCCAGAATCTTATAAAATCATGGACCCTGCCATGATATTTTTCCCCATCACACCTACTCTGAAAAATATTAGAGGTCACGCGACTCACGCCCAACTGGGACAACACTCACATTCTCTCTTTGTCAGCTGTGTCGTCCAAAAGTATCTGTTTAAAGTTTAAAGCGGTCGTTTGAATGAACGATAACGGAAAAGCACATAAGATCCCACGGAAAAAGATTGGAATTAATTTTCCACAGTGACTCAAAATAAAAAATTTATTAAAACCAATGCATCGCGGATGTCATTTGCAAATGGAATCCGATTGGAAAATCCAGAAATACTACAGCGGTGCTACGAAATCAACAGATATGATATACAGTACGTGCCTGTACTATGAGTACCATGCAGCCTCATGCCGTATATAATGATTTACCAGATATCACATTCCAAATGTAAAATGATTCGTACCTATTGCTCCTTGCATTAAAAAACTGCGAATGAACCTTGAATCGTAATTTATCTCGTGCGTATTACAAGCGGTTTTTCTTAACGAAAAGGTGTTCAACGTTGACGAAGGCCGTCCCATTATTTGGAGGCGACCTCTGGTACTTTTTCAAGTAGGCGTAAATGTGAGATAAATATTCATATCACATAGCCCATGATATTCTGAAATTCTTGAATTTTTTTTAGTTTTTCAATTTACTGCTCAATGATAAGTGGAAACTTTCCAGTCACAGTCAGAATTCTCCACCCATGTCACTGGTTGCTAAAAATTCATCAGACTATATAGGTAGAAGAATTGAATTTTGCTGTTTTTGCAGAAATAAATTCATTCATGTACATTTGGAAACAAGGCTTTTAAAGTCACTGTTTGCACCAAAAGCTGGTGAATCATTGAGATAAGAATCTGGCATGAAGGTTTTCCAGATTCTCATCACCAAATAAACGTTAGGTTTAGAAGAGCAAGAATATCTCAAGATCTGCCAATTGGATCAATTTTTGTATGATTAAAGAAAACTTGAAGAACATCATTAGCCTCAATTTAATATGTTGCAGAATTATTCTAAATTTAAAATTTGCAGAGTTATTTGCTTCAGAAGTTTGCGCATTGGGAATTATACCACAGGCAAAGCATGTTTCCTTTGCTGATTTCATTTCTTTTTGAAGGAAAGTTTTTACTGCACAATCTAAGATTGTATTTGCTGATTGTGTGTGTGATTGTTGTCCTCATGAAACCTGTAATCAGAGATAGTTATGAAGGCCTCTTTCAACATACAATGAGTGAGGATGCTCCAGCTTACCTTATTTCTACAGTCATACGGTAATTTTGCATTTAAAAAATTAATTTCCTTTCAAGGCTGGGTAACTGCACTCAGATGTCTCTTGCATCTGGAATATTTTTAATACAGCTTAAAATCTGTGATAGCTGTTGTTCTACCCATTATTTAAAATGTAAAAAGTCAGTTAGTAAAAGAAAAACTAAATTAATTTGTATCCAGCCTGACACATTTTATGTATTCTGTGACATGGATATAGAACTCTGGCTGTAACTGGTAAGTTCTCATCTAAAATCAAGCAGTATGGTGAAAAAAATTGCTTATAATTGTGGCAAAAATCCCAGAATCTTGAAAATTAATGAACCCTGCCATGATTTTTTTTCCCATCACACCTGCTCTAAAATATATTAGAGGTCGCGCCAAACTGGGACAACCCTCACAATCTCTCTTCGTCAACTGAGTCGTCCAAGAGTTTCTGCTTAATGTTTGAAGCGGTCGTTTGAATGACAATAACAATAACGGAGATGCACATAAGATCCCACGGAAAAAGATAGAAAATAACTTTCCAGGGTGACTCAGAATAAAAATTGAATTAAAACGAGTGCATCGCGGATGTCATTTGCGAATGGAATCCGATTGGAAAATCCAGAAATACTACAGCGGTGCTACAAAATCAACAGATATGATATACACACGGACATGATACTCATGGTACGTCGGAGTACGGCATATATTACTAAATGGTCTATAGTGTAAGGTTTACATTTTACTAAGCATGGATAACGAGGAACGTAATTTTTTGACGCTTACTTGGAACTTCTTGAAAAAATAAGTGATATACTGAAACATTGAACCGCATCCTCGAGATTATGTAATTCTTGAAACACGTATTATTGTGTGATCATGAGAAGATGCTCTTGTTTATCGCCTAAATAAAAAAGGGAATTCTGTCAATCTCGAATTCGTATCCATACGAATGTTTTCGGTTTTTTCAATAGAAATAAAACACATAGGCGATAAATGTCTGCTTTCTCGATAAACTGATTCGACCAAACTGTGACCAATCCAAAAGCAAGCAAAACAAAATTCTTAAAGAACATTCCGCAATCTGAAAAACATTTAAACGCGTCACTTGCGACCATTATTTATTCGTACGTTTCTTCTGAAGTGATCAATATACCTTCCAGCTCTGCGCATAGCTTGCAACTTGTTAAAAAATACGTTTTCAACTGTAACTTGTTAAGCCTTTTATTTGTCTTCAAAAGTAGTGGTCTGTCAAAGAACTTACGTCGTTTGCTTCGATTTACGATAGCCAACCCCGAAGTGAGTCTCCCGTGTCTTCCCTCCCAGAAATTGACCAACACGAGGGGCATAACCAAAGTTCTTCGGATATAAATTGAAATGGCACATGACAGAGCTGGGGGAAAAAATTCAGAAATATTCTTTGGTATGAGAAAAAATGCAGCCCTGTCTTAAATATTTAGCGGAATTTCATGTGTAAAACTACCCTCGGCAACTTGCTGCTCTTCAGTCTTCCCTTTGAAGTTTAGCCGCCTTCAAAGCAGCCAAATTCTCATCCCAAGGCGGCTGATAATGAAAATTGAAGAATTACCTTGAAAGACCCAGAGTCAACCGTCGGAATTTGTGCCTTGTCAATTTCGAAAAAGAAGCTGAGCTGTGCCTAAAAAAGTCTGCGAGATGTGCGCCTCATCTTTTGAGTAAAGAGCACTTTCGCAAAAATTAAATTAAAAAAATAATGCGTCCAACATGGTTGAATTATGTTTAACGTTCCAAAAATTTCGTTATTCTAAGCATTACTGTATTTGTTTTAAAAAAAATCGAGCCAGTACACGGTAACGTTAAATGTACGACTCTTGAAAACAGTCTGGGGAACATAACAGGTTGAGCAGTTCGAGGAAACCTTTCTTGTATGCTGCTCAAGTTCGTTTCTGGGCAACACTCTCATGTCACAAGGAAGACTGCTGAGAAGATTTCGAAAATCTTCCAAGATCTTCCATTCATGGGAAATGAAACTGGAAATCTGGATTGCATAATACACGTCTATTTTCTCCAATCCCGAGATGAATAAGACTTGCTGGATGAAAAGGAGATGAAAATTTCGGGTACTCCGATGCACGGAACAGGTTTCTCTCTATACAAATGCAATATAGATATATATATATAACATATATACGCCCACCTCTGCTCCAGAAACAACCCGTGACAAATTAACCGTGGCAAGTCTCTCCTTGTCACATCATGCTACAATAACCACGCCTATACGTAAGAATCACAAGAAATAAGCCTTCCGAAAGGTATTCCGAAAATCCCCAGAAGAGAAAACATCATCCACTCGAAATCTTTCTGCCGAGTTTTACAGAATCTCAAGTCATGAGCCCATAACCCTTGAAAACATTATTTTATTTTACCTTTGCCAAAATACCAGAGAGAAATCTCGCTTTAATTTTTTCGAGATTCCGCTCAAATGTCAAGAGCGAAATGAAAACTCATCCGTCTCCTCGCGTGTGACGGAAGCCTTATTAATTTTGACATTACCTGCTGCAAATAAATTTCATGGAAATCAGCTGTTATTTTGGATTGAAGCAAAAATACTCAAAATTGCTTTTTTATTTTTAAATACTCTACTGACCTTTCCAAGCCGAGAAGAGGCGTGGGACCGACAAGCAAGAAAGCCACAGCCTCGCAAAGCATCCCAATCACGCAGAAAGTGCCCTGACTTTCCTGAAACCGGTCGCTGATGGAGCCAGCATGCTCAGGTTTGCGATCTATTGTATAGCTGTTGTGGTGCTTCTTATTCGGCTGGTAAGGACCTGAGTAAGGATCGACTCTTTTCTTTCTTATTTTGCGCCTGCTTCGGTATTTGCGCTTACAAAGTGAAGCACGCATGAAAAATTTCAGTACACAGGACCGTAGTTGAATTTGTAATTCAAAGAATTATTTTTATAAACCGAAAGCCGCATCATTTTCTTATTCAAATGGCTGCTTGTCTTTCTAGTTCAAAATTAGGTTTCGCATGAAAATAAAACTTCACGAAGAATTATACCCTCGACTCCCGACCGAAGTTGATCTAAAATGGCCTACGCTGACCTAAAGTAGTCCAACTACAGTATTTGCCAGATTTAGCGTAACTTCTCCTAATTTTCTGGCCTACTTCTCGAACCAAACTGATGAGACTCGATAAACCATGAAAACACAATGCGCGACAAATATTTTACCAAAAAATCGACGTCGGGAGACGGGAGCTTAGGTAGAAATAATTCCGATTTGAAGACTTCGTGCAAATACATAAATATTTCTCTATACATAAGGTAGCTCTCATACATTTCTTTTATGCTGTGCGCAGTCGGAAAAGTGTCTTTAATAAAATGTTTCGGAGAAGGGAACAGGCATAATCAGCTGCATTGAGGTTCGAAATATACAAAAAAAGAAAGTACATATAAGGTGTATTTGGTTGCAGTATCAATAGCTTTTATTGCGTGTCAAGATACAGCCGAACCCCTTTCAGACGAACATCATTAGACCAGAGAAAAATTTGAGTTACGGAAACAAGCACTTTTGTGGGGGGAAGAAAGATGAATTGCAGGAAATTGCAATATTGTTCCTAATTCTAGACCCCAGATGAATGAGTTGACAGATGAATAACTTGGAGGCAAGGGTTTATTTGGCCGACTATTCCTTTCACTTTTTTTCAAAACACATCAAGTTAAATTTTTCTTTTATCTTTCCTGTATACCAGCAGTATTGTTGCAATAATAGCCAAAAGGACACCAGAAAAATTGAGTTACGGAGGCTTGAGGAGGAAAGCCTTCGGTTAGAGAAGCTTTTGATGCGTATACGTGTTTTTGAGAAAATTCAGATGGGACTTGAAAAAAAAAAGTCGACATAGGAAGGTACAGTATTCGACTTGGGGAGATTCCAGTTATCCAAATTTAACTGTACTGTATCACTTTTAGCAGCACCCCAAAAATGTGGTCAACAACTCTTGCACAACCTATAGCAATTCTACATGAGCGACAAAAGCATCATTCGAGAGTCATTTTCCTTTTTGGGGCTAAAAAAAAAAAAAAACAGTTCATCATCAATAGAGTTGAAATAGGCGTGCCCAAGGATGAGAGTCTGATCGAAAATTATTTCTAAATTTCCGACAAGAGAAGGAATAAGACAGCGCATTTTGTCTCTTTACCGTTCGAAGATGATGAGTCTGATCGAAAAATATTTTTAAAATTTCAGACAAGAGAAGGAAAAGAACGCATGCGGTCTCTTTATACCGGTCGAAGATGAGGTTCGAGTGTCGTCTCGAGGAAGGAGATGGTGACAGCGTTGAAGGTGACGTAACAGGCGAAGAAACAGAAGCGGAATGACGGGAATACTCGTGGTCGTCGACCCTGAGAACCCCGCAATCCCGACGGCAATTCGTAGGGCTTCGCTTCATGCGACGCAATCTCCACAGCTGCTTCCGTCGGTCTTCGCGAAACTGAAAGAAGGAAATGAATAATATATTTGAACATAAAGCCTTGTCTATAACTGTTTTGCGTTGCAATAAAAGACTGGCGGGAACATACGGGTATACGGTATATTAGTGACCAAAGCATAGCTCGCCTTTTGTTTTCCTACATATAACCGCCTAAAGCGGAGGGAAAGAAATCCGATCCCCTAGTTTTTTTCAGGCATGACACATTATGTTCTTTCCGTGCTGTTGATGCAAAAAAAAAATCATGGAGGATTTCTCCAGCAACTACAATTTCTCACACAGAATGAAGGATTCCCACCGAAATTCATCAAGTGGCATCTTTTTACTTGACAGATTCAACGCATTCCTTTTTATTCCTAGAAAATACAGTCAACCCCCATCTAATGGACTTGATTCGTGCAAGGGACGAGTCTGTTAGACAAAAAGTCCTTTATACAAATTCAATTATATAAAAAATTAAAAATTTCAATTTTCAACACTACTTTTAAATAAAAAAAAGTCTGTTTGGCGGATTTTGTCGGGCGGGAGGAAAAACTGCTTGCAGATACGAGTCCAAACGCTAGATAACATATCGACAACACCACGAAGAATAAGCCGACCATTCCTGGACTCATTCCTAGCTGAGAAAAGAAAGAATCAAACGCGAACGAAGCCATCAACGCAAATGTTTCACCAGCACGCATGAAAAATTTCAGTACACAGGACCGTAGTTGAATTTTTAATTCAACGATTCATTTTTATAAACCGAAAGCCGCATCATTTTCTTATTCAAATGGTTGCTTGTCTTTCTAGTTCAAAATTAGGTTTCGCATGAAAATAAAACTTCACGAAGAATTATACCCTCGACTCCCGACCGAAGTTGATCCAAAATGGCCTACGCTGACCTAAAGTAATCCAACTATTTTCCAGATTTAGTAACTTCTCCTAATTTTCTGGCCTACTTTTCGAACCAAACTGATGGGACTCAATAAACCATGAAAACACAATGTGTGGCAAATATTTTACCAAAAAACCGACATCGGGAGACGGGAGCTGAGGTAAAAGTAATTCCGATGTGAAAACTTTATGCAAATATAAGTATTTCTCTATAGATACGGTAGCTCTCATACATTTTTTCTATGCTTTGTGCAGTCTGAAAAAGTGTCTTCAATAAAAATTTTCGTAGAAGGGAACCGGCATAAACAGCTACATTGGGTTTTAAAAGAAAGTACATACAATTTGTACAGTATTTGGTTGAAGTATCAGTAGCTTTTATTGTGTATCAAGATACAGCCGAACCCGTTTAAGACGAACTTCATTAGACCAGAGAAAAAATTGAGTTTGGGTAATTGGCATTTTTGTTGGGGGAAAGGAAGATGAATTGCATGAAATTGTAATTGTTGCTATATTCTAGACCTCAGATTTCTTCTCGAATGAATTGGCAGGTGAATAACTTCGAGAAAAGGGTTTATTTGGCCAACTATTTCTTTCCCTCTTTTTTCAAAACACATCAAATTACATTTATCTTTTCTCTTTCTTGTGCAAGCAGTATTGTTGTAATAATAGCCAAAAGGACACCACATAAATCGAGTCACGGAGGTTTGATAAGGAAGGCCTTCGGGTTATAGAAAAGCTTTTGATGCGTACGCGTTTTTGAGAAAATTCAGATGTGAGTCATGTGACTTTAAAAAAAGTCAACATAAGAAGGTACAGTATTGTACTTTCGGGAGATTCCACTTATCCAAGTTCAACTGTAGTAGTACCACTTTTAGCAGCACCCCAAAAAAGTAATCAACACCTCTTGCACAGCATATAGGAATTCTACATGAGCAACAAAAGCATCGTTCGAGTGTCATTTTCCTTTTTGGGGCTAAAAAAAACAGTTCACCATCATGAAGTTGAAATAGGCGTGCCCAAGGATGAGAGTCTGATCGAAAATTATTTTCAAATTTCCGATAAGAGAAGGAATAAGAGAGCGCATTTTGTCTCTTTACCGGTCGAAGATGAGTCTGATCGAAAAATATTTTTAAAATTTTAGAGAAGAGAAGGAAAAGAGCGCATGTGGTCTCTTTATACCGGTCGAAGATGAGGTTCGAGTGTNAAGAGAGCGCATTTTGTCTCTTTACCGGTCGAAGATGAGTCTGATCGAAAAATATTTTTAAAATTTTAGAGAAGAGAAGGAAAAGAGCGCATGTGGTCTCTTTATACCGGTCGAAGATGAGGTTCGAGTGTCGTCTCGAGGAAGGAGATGGTGACAGCGTTGAAGGTGACGTAACAGGCGAAGAAACAGAAGCGGAATGACGGAAATACTCGTGGCCGTCGACCCTGAGAACCCTGCAATCCCGACGGCAATTCGTAGGGCTTCGCTTCATGCGACGCAATCTCCACAGCTGCTTCCGTCGGTCTTCGCGAAACTGAAAGAAGGAAATGAATAATATATTTGTACATAAAAGCCTTGTCTGGAAAGACGGCCTAGACTGTTTTGTCTTGCAATAAAAGACTGGCGGGAGCATACGGGTATACGGTACATTAGTGACCAAAGCATAGCTCGCCTTTTTTTTCCTATATATAACCGCCTAAAGCGGAGGGAAAGAAATCCCATCCCCTAGTTTTTTTTTTCAGGCATGACACATTATGTTCTTCCGTGCTGTTGATGCAAAAAAAGACATGGAGGATTTCTCCAGCAACTACAATTTCTCACACAGCATGAAGGATTCCCACCGAAATTCATCAAGTGGCATCTCTTTATTTGACAGATTCAACGCATTCCTTTTTATTCTTAGAAAATATACTGTATTTACTCAAGTACCAGCACGCACCCTACAATCGAGTAGAACTCACGCAAAGAATTTTCGACCAAAATGTTGCCCCAAAACTCATTTCGGTAAGACCTACTCCCCAATTTGTTGTTGGCTGGAAATCGAAATTCATAATTTACCTAATATTTATTTGTATCCGAACAACCTTATAAAAATGAAGCAATTCGATGAACTACATCAGGATAGATGTCAACCCGAATTTTCTGACCCTTTCCTTCGCCTGAGGCTAACTTCTAACGTACCAATATGACTTCATGATTTTGTTTTGTTTGAAAAATGTATACCCCATACCACATGAGCCCCACTTTCTGCCTTGATTTTCCAGAAGAAAAAAAAGTGCATATGGTACTCAAGTAAATGCTTCCAAAATTGTTTGGTCAGTGGATAATCATTTGGGAACCGGCTAATTACGTTTTGCTTTGAATTATGCTCACTAATTGCTGGATGATGTGTATTTTTGTCGAAGAGAAGGGCCAACAAAAGAATTCATGATTTGTATATACTGTACTGTGATGTATATACAGTATTTATTTGAATATACAGTATATGCATTTGTTCAAAATGTTTTGAACCTTGTGACTGTCAAAAACAAGAAGGAAATTAAGCATATTTATCTAATGCAGGCGGACTCTCTTTCTTTCTCCATCTAAACAAATTTTCTCTGCATAACAATTTTTCTCATGGTTCCATAGGGTCCTCTGTCTATTTTATTGAACCCATCGGGGTTGAATACGAAGAATTATTTTCTGGTCCCTTGAATTTCGTTGTAGAAAGAATCCATCTGCAACATTCCCAAATTACATTAATGGAATGGAGACGGCGGCATCATTCAAGCAACAGGTTCTGTCGAAGACAAATGCAAACCAATATATATTCAACGAATTGTTTCGCGAGATATTTTACGAACCAAATCGAGACATGTCTGATTTGTTGCTGAATGTTTCGAACTGAATTATGGGATGCTGAATATTCAGAAATGCTCTCCGCACTGTTTTCCTCGCAAAGTTTCAAATTACGCTACATTTTCGCTCATGTGTGCGCTTCTCGCTCTCCGTGTACAGTACTGTACTATCGATTCTGTTCGTAATCGACTTCACAAAAGGTCACGTCACTCACTTCCTCGTCCTGCAAAACAGGTCAAGTATTTGAGTGCATCAGATTGTGTCGAGATCTGAATTTTCCATAAACCATAAGCGAATTTGAATCTTTGGGGTGCAGGCATTCTGCTGCATATACAGGAGAATAGGCGTGACTGACAGTTCCATTATCCACCAGGTTCTCAAAGCAACTGGGGGAAAATACATTCGCTCATCTTATATATACCGCTGAAATTGTGAGCATTTCTCATAAATCGAATGTCCGATTATAATCGGGAACAGCAGATCGATCATCCCTCGCTTATAAATAGCACACACGCACGCAGATCATGCCAGAAATTCGGTCATTTCATTAATTTCTCTCAAGTAGAATCGCTAACACTCACCCCTTTTGTCGCCATTGTTGTCGATATTTCGCAACAAGTACATTATTAGCGGAATAGACACCAGCAGCGTGAATCCCAGCAGCCAAAATGGCAATTCGTAGCCTCCAATCTGCAGAAAAAATAATACGCAATGAAAACGGGAATGTCTAAAGACAATAAATAGAAAGAATATTGAGAGAGGTATAGATTACTGTATTAGTGTACTGTACTGCACAGTACTGTGATCGTGTTATACATAGGGTCTTATTCTTTACCTGAAGAAAAAATCACAAGCCCCTTTTGTTTCATTTATGCCGTATTACCAAGCAAATATATTATTAACTTAGATGCCCTGAGCTCAAGATAATCTGACATCTACGAATGAGAAAAATAAATGAAAATTACAGTATTGGAAAACTAGCAGCTTCTTTTCTGTCACTTCAGGGTTGCTTCATAAGTTTTGAGACTTTTCGAAATATATCCAATGGAATTTCGAAAACTCCAAATTTTTTTTTTGCGCATAGCACCATCATGTGGCACTATTCAACACACTCTCCACCAATTTCAATGAATTTTTTCATGCTATAAATCCAAGAATCAAAAGAGTGCCAAAACCCTAATTCTGTTAGTTGATCAGGCATCCTGTGGCATTTGGCTGTTCCCAACAGCAAAGAACAACCTGAGAGGTATTGATTTTGAGGATAAGGACAGCCTCATTTCTGCCATCACAGAGCAGCTTTATCAACAAGCGAAACTCAATTTGCTGCATTATTTTTATCCTTGGATTTATTGCATGAAAAAATGTATTGAAATCAGCTGAGAGTATGTTGAACAGCACTGAAGTGTTGCCAAAAAAAACTTTGGAATAGTTGAAACTGTTGGATATATTTCTCAAATACATGCAGTTATGGACCCCAAGATGCGGACATAATTGATGTTTTAACCTTGTCCCTATGTCAGAACATATGCAGGATGTCAGATCTTGTTTTCCTGTAGACTTCAATGGGAACTTATTCAATTGGTTCTCTGGTTCATCAAAAATTAGAAATAAACCTCCCAGAAATCAAATAAAGTGTGTCTCTCAGCTTCAAGGTATAGAATACAAGTGTATGAAAGACAATGACACAGAATCTGCCATCTTGTGGCATCAAAAGAACCCCAAGAAAGCAAACTAAAAGTACAGTACAAATCTTGCTATACTGTGCACAAGTGATGGAGAATACTTCAGAAGACAAAGAGCAACATTAACCACTTTTTGATAAATATCAATGAATATAAAATACAATTTCTTTTCGACTTTTGTTATTATGAATACCTCAATTTATTCAAGTGATATCCAAATTACGAAGAAGAAATTGCCAATTTTCCAGAAATTTGGATAAATGTCCGTAAGTCGAGATTTTTCTCGGATGTCAGGTCAGTTTTGTTACCGTTTCATTCTTCCCCCAAGTCTGATCGTCCGCAAGTCGAAGTGTTCGCATTTTGGGGTCTCACTGTAGATCCAACGGACTCAAAACTTATGAACCAGCCATCGTATATTAGGTCAAACTTTTCCTTAAAAATTTATTTTCCGCAGTCTATATATTCAGCTGATGTCTCCCCTTCGAATCAAGGACAAGATACGTGCCGTCATTTAGTCGCAGCAACAGCATTCGTGAGGTAAACAACGACTGTATTCGCCTTCTTTTCGGAAAATCACATCATGAAAAAAAAGAAAGAGATGAAAACTCACGTCGTAGAGCGAACCGCCGATGGAAGGACCGAAGAGATATCCGATCCCGACGCTCATTTCGGAAAGTCCCTGTGGAAAAGCGAGTGCAATGAGTGCAGTGTCAAGAGGAGGACATCATATCCTCATCACTGGTTCGCCTTTTGCGTTTCTCAGCAATTCCCCTTTCGAGACAGACTGATGTGACATAGGATTACAGTACTCTATTTCCGCCGGGATGAAAACCCTTCGGGGATTTTGTCGCGTCCTTCCTTAGGCTTATATACTTCGTGTGGGAACAGAATTCAGTCGTCGGGAATCTCGGGATATTCTTCAAAAGCCGACTCTTCGGGCAAAGATTCCATACCGGTGCGACGATATTGCGCACATAGATCCCCGAAACCGTACAGATCCTTAGCGAGAAGTGCGTATAAAACGGCTTTATTCCAGGACCATGTGCACCTTTTTTCCTCAAGCTGAGAGGGGGAAAAACGGCGTGGGCATCTTAGACAACATACATTTTTTACAGCTTTAGATTTTTAGGTGTGCATTAAATTTGATCTTATACTGGGAAACTTTGGAACAATTCCAATTAAATCCCTTACGTAATGGGTATAGATGGAAATTGCAGTGAGACCCCCAAATGCAGACGCCTCAACATGGGGAAAATTTGAAATATAGGGACATTCATTTTTCGATGAAAAAAATCATAAAAAAGGTCCAACATACAGACACTGACTCAACATGAGGACATTGCATGATAAAATTGCTATTAAATTTCAGGAAAATTGACTTTTATTAGGCTTAATTGCAAGAAACAGATATTTCCAACCCTAAGATCTATATGCAAGAAAAATTCTTTGGTACTTTTCCCATCACTTTCCTATCCATCCAGCTAAATAAATAAAAATTACCAATATTACAGAGGGACTTCCTTCTCTCTTAGTGACTTGCATGTTATTTTTACAGATGCGAACATTTCAATGAACAGTAGAGTGGTATATTATTCAATGCTCCAAATGTTCTTATTAGGTTCAAAAGATATTCACTGAATAAAATTCAAATGGACAAAAAAGAAGTTTCCATGGAATTCTGAAGAAGATTTCTTCCATAAAACACCAATCAGAAATTATATAGTGCAAGTCTATGGGAAAACAAAACTTGACCGAGGGAAAATTCAACTTAGGGACACTCTTGATGCACCAATTATGTCTGCATCTGGGGGTCTCACTGTAGTTGCATTCACGATCAAATCATGTCTAAATCTTGAATAATTTAAATCTCCCATAAAAATGTGCAGCGCAGAAGCCATTATATATTGGCTTCCAATACAGTATACTGTATTGGAAAACGCATCAGTAACAAACTGTTTTGTTCCAAGTTTTTTTGCTACCCATTTTCCAATCTAATTCTATTCATGTAACCATGATTCCTCCACAAATTTCAAGGCATCAGGAACAATTTGGTGCCGAAAAACGTCAGAAGAAACCTTCCCAGAAATCGAGTATTTTGCAGTTGTTTCTCGTGACTTGACGAATGAGCAGTCCAATGCCATGACTGATGCTTCTAATTGTAGGTTTCAATAACTTTTCCTTGAACAATTTCGTTCACGCTTGAAATGCTGCTGAAGTACAAGACTTGGCATATTACGGATACATGGTCGATATTTGCGCATCTTCTTTTTTGGACAAACAACTCGCCAATGCCTCTGCATCATGGGCGTAAAAGTTCATGTGATACTCGTATCATATCGATACGGCGTCAGATCCAGACACGATTATAAATTTGAAATCTTGAGTCGAAATGTATTTTTCCAGCGTTGATAGAATAATGATCGAGCTCACCATCACGAATCCAATGTCCTCATTGAAGCTTTGAGCAAGGAATGAAAATCCCGCCGTGAGGCACATGGACACACCCACGGCCTCAACGACTCTGACGATGAGGCACATTTGCACGAACACAGAAGTATCCATGATTTCATCCAGGAATCTGTCAATGATCAGGAATCCCCCAAAAGCATTTCCGTGAGGCACATGGACACACCCACGGCCTCAACGACTCTGACGATGAGGCACATTTGCACGAACACAGAAGTATCCATGATTTCATCCAGGAATCTGTCAATGATCAGGAATCCCCCAAAAGCATTTTATTGAATTCAATCATACGAAAATACGCCAGCAGTATTCTTGAGAAAATCTCAAAAATTCGTGCCAGTGTGGAGAGAACTTCTCTACGAAAGCGAAGACTCCAACCCCCACAAAATAATACCAGGTGAAGAATTTCCAGATAAATATTCTGATTTCTGAAAACGCAATTCTGAATCTTATTCACTTCCATCTCCTTCCATTATCGTTATCAGTTAAAATCAGCGAGGAACGCCGAAGTCAAATTTTCGTAGACACGAAATCTACTCGGTCATCGATTTCTACTTTTCCCAGGCTTTCATTTATACCTTTTTTGTGATTGGAAAAATAAGACATTTCGTAATTCAATAAGGTACATGTGTCATCAGATTTGAAAATCCGAATATGGACAAAAAATGGAACCCTCACCCGAAAGCAATTATGGCTCCTCCGGTGATCCATGCTCCGCTGAACAACACGAATTTCCGGCCCAGTTTGGGTATGATCTTTTGACGAAGGACATAATATGCGGAAATGTTACGCGTCAAACATCGGGAAATGTTTTTAAAAGATTTTACAAATAATCGATAAATTTTTGGAATCGATGGCGATAGAATTTTTTATCAACACGTCAATCCTCTGTCGACCTCGAACGTCAACCGATCCATTTTTTATGAACGATTCCAAGTAAAACACGCGTGAAGTCCTTGAACGCATTACATGAAAGATTATAAACAGACCGCATCAAAAACAAGAACACAGAACATTATAAATTTTGCATTTATCGGCGTTAGGAAAATATTTTTCGTATTTATGCATTTTTTTTACAAATGGGCCATAAAGGTTAATCCGTCTCGCAAATTTCTGGAAATATAAATTCGAAAAAATAAATTTTTAGTTCACTCACGAAATGTCCGACGATTGGACTCAGTATGGTACTCGTCAAGGCATTCGCCGAGAAAATGAAACCAATTGTGGACTCCTGTACCATCTTCACTGACGCCTCCGTGAAAAATAATCCATAAAGAAATTCGCTGATTAGAGTGAACTGAAATGATTGAACTGAAGTTTTTAAATTGGTACGTCCCGAATAATTGGAGCCATGATATTTTCAATATCTTTCAAATGAACGTACAGTATGATGATGAGAATCTTCCTCAAGAAAGCAATTGTTGCTTGGAATTGAATATTTTGATTTTCTTGTTTCCATTCAAATTCTGAAATCGCTTTTTTCAATGGCAGAAACGTTGAACACTTTAACCACTGCAATAAAATTTATTTCAAAACTGATGCACTTCCGGATCTTTTGGAATTGCTGTGAAGTGATGTTTTACTCTGGAGTGCCCACCGTCCAGAAAATACTGGGAATTCCTTTTTTTTAAGATTTATTACTTAATAATAGCAAATAACGTGTGCGGCATTTTTCAAAAGTATGGTGCAGTACAGTATCTCGAAAAAATTGCATTGCTGTTCAATTCATGAAAAAAGACTATGACTTTCCTGGAGCTTATTTCTTACCCAAAAGTGAATAACCTCGCTTCACTCGGTTCATAAGGGTACTCCATCAGTAAAAGACACCTTTTCACATTGATTACAATTGTCAAGAGGATTTCCAACAAGAAAATGCTCATCCATTCATCTTTTAATGTCCACAGTGGGAGGAATGACCAGTAGGATCCTACAGGGGTCTGGAGGGGGGGGGGATAATAAGGACGTTGTGTAACGTGTGTCTGTGGCCTTTTGCACCTTGAATTAATTTGCCTACTTGAAAACATATCAATTAACATTAAGATGTCAGGATGGCTGAGTGGTCTAAGGCGCTGCATACAGGTCACAGTGTGGTTCTGCAGGCGTGGGTTCAAAACCCACTTCTGCAATCATTTTTTCATTTTTTCATCCGCACTGCGGACGCTCTACTACTTGTTTACTTTCTAGGTTTTTCAGTCATTGAAAACCTGCTGAAATTACCCTGGAAGAATCGGTAGGAAGGTATGACATCTTGAAAAATCAGCAAAGTAATTCAAACACCTTTCTGGAGTGAATTTTCATAAATCTCGATGATGCGTTACAAAAAATTGAAATTTTCCAATATAATATGTCAATTGTGAATTCTAACGATCAAAAATACTGCCGAGGATGCCTAGAATACATCCCACTGAATATTTAATCTTTTCGTTCAAATGTGAGAGAGAGATCTTCGCAAAAAATGAAGCTGTTCGAAACCATGCTCGAGTTAATCCTCTGTTGTACCTTATACAGGTTCTCATTGGAGATTCCTGAAATCATATCTTACCATATTTAAAATGCATCTACAATACTGTACTGTAAATGCAGTCATTATAAACTTTATCTTTAATGCAACCCGAAGCCGTAAAACTTGTCTCATCTCTATATCTACTGAAATGCTTTTAAAATTAACTCAACGCAATTTGGTTTTTCGGCAATATTGAACACGCATTTTCGGAACTTACTTCGAGTGGGAAGAACGGCGTCATGTTCGACAAACATGCGTAAAGTAAGAGCTGCAGCGCCAAAATAGCAATAAGCAGCGTTTTTTGCTCCCTGGTCCAAAGACTCGTCTGGGAGCAGCAGAGCATTTTGGCGCTGCAATTGGATGCAAAGTGAGATTCAGCATCGGGGTCAAGGTCACGGACGAGCCACACGTGGCCTCGGGATCTGCGCTACCGACGCAGGTCGGCACGATAACGACCTCGGATTCAGCACGGATCCCTCACCGGAAGCAAGTACCCGGAAATTACCCCAGCAGGCCGACACCCCTTGCAGAACTAAATCACAAGGTGGAGACACCCAGCAGCAAGGTACTGATCGTGAAATTTTAAGATTCGTCGACTTCTGAAAATAATGGAAAAAAATTAGAGTAGAAGTATTTTGGTGAATAATCATCAATAAATAAAATTACTCGCACATCACGACCTCACACGACGGCTCGCCAAAATGTTTTACTCGCACATTCTACGGCGAATGCCGTGACATATTTTATTTGAATGCAGTACTGCACAGTACAGTACTTCCTCTTTTGACTCACATTAAAGTCCCATGCGGCTATATTTTTGATGCCCCATGAGTTTGGGCTGTGATTTTAAGAGAAAAGTTTTTGTGGTGTGGCGCATGAATCCATTACGGCATATGAATTTGTGAAGGAAAATACTTGAACTCTATTCTAAAAATTGTGAAAATCTTCCACAAAATCAAGTCAAATATTTTTCGGGACTCAAATTTTTTTTGAAAAATTGCTCTGGAAATATTGAAGCGTTTCATATTCGAGGGGGTCTTATCCAAGTTCTGTATAGCACTGTATTTATACTGGGGCATCTCGCAAACCTTGTAAAAAAGCATATAAGGATCAGAGAAAAGTGAAATGCGAATGGTACACCGGTATATGGGGGATTAAATGCGTTTTGTGAAAGAAAGTTATACTGTCCTCCAGAAGTCAGTGTGGTTGACAAGAGAGAAAACATGAAATTTTCTTTTGGAGCCAAGTTTCCAAATCCTAGTGTCATCCAAGCAAAAATGATAATTTACAGTAATAAACCAACTAAAGAAATTTTGGTAAGCAGAAACTGGGATGCACAGCTAAAACAGGGACAAGGTTTTGGGCAAATTTGACTCAAGAAATGAAGATGCACATCTCATGTTGCAGGGATTGCAGTACTCAAGTACTGTAAGTTGGAATATGTGATGATGTTCTAAATTTTATGTGGTCTTATTGTATATATTCCAATGATTCATATGAAATATGCGCTCAGCAAGCAAAAATGTTTACTGCACATGAATCAGAAGGATGCACTTATTTTTCTATGCAAATAGCTCAAAATAACTCATCTGAATTATCTGAGAATCAGTTTAAAAACCTCTCTAACTCAAAGTACTTTTCTCAAAAACCTCTGTAAGTTAAATTTTCCGCGGCCTTATTATTTCCTTGAAATATGAAAAAGAAAATCAATAAAACATATGATTTGATGCATCTTGAAGGAAGTGAAAGATAAATAAAGCAAATGAACCCATGCTTTCAAGTTCAGCAATGTATAACCTCATTAAGAAGCAAGTTTGGGCCCAAAATATCTCCATTTAAAATTCCCCACAATTTTCTTTCACAGCAAAAAAATGCTTGTTTTGTTAACTGGAAACATCCCTAACTAGATTTTGTTTCTGGTCAATACAAATTTGACTTGGAGAGGTTTGCCTTATGCAGTTGCAAAATCTGTACAAGAAAAAAGTCATAGTCTTGATTGTCACCAAAACACAAACGAAAGGTAAATATACAATATTTTCACATCCAATCCAACATAATTTCAAAGTCACAGAAAATGACGCAACATGCAGGTTCTTATGCAATACATTGATATACAATCAATGCACTGATAAAGGCAGTGATGTGTGCACATTGCCTGATGAATGACATAATTTTCTCATTGATTTGAATGCACAATGAAAGCAATGCTACCTAACTTATATTGTTTCAATTATATTGCATTGTACTGTACAGTATTATCATTGGTTCACCCACGCAGTCAAATTTTGAACTGATCTATACAGGACAATATAAAGTGATGCTAAAGGTACCTTTAAATAATTTCACAATTTTAAATACTGCCCCAATACCTGCAGATAAACGCACTCTTTCCATACTTTCCACTGAATTATAAGAACTAAGTGAGAAATTAGTAAATGAATGCTGGAAATGACAAGTAACGTGTCCCAATGTTATCCCAAATGATCTCACAAAATATAGAATTTTGAAACTCACACAAATTTTAAAATTTGGCCCTTCTTCAAACTCCAGGATCCCAAATTCAAACGTGAAACAGCATTGCAACGTAATGCAGAGCTGATGAAACGCTAAACCAGCACCGGAGGAATCTTCCTCACTATCAACAACAACTGCCACAGATCATATTGAAGATTACACCACTGCCACAAAAATCCAACCTAGTGTTTTCTTGACAAAAAAAAAATCACATCATCGTCTAATCAGGAAATATTACAGAATTGTGTAGAACTCGGGACTGCCGGATCCATGACTCAGGAAATATCAGGATAACTTGTCGCCCCACTCACAATGAACACAGTCCTGTCCGAAATTCAAACAATAGGATATCGTCGGTCCAGAGCTAGTTACAGTTTTCACATGCGTAACGAAAGATGTGCTGTAATCCCAAAATGCATCCCCGAAATTCCAAATTTTTAACAATTTCTCATGGACACAAACAATAGCGGAGTGGGAACAGTACTAAACTTTCCCAGCAAATTCGTTTGCCGGGATTAGTTATATAACATAATGGACGTGAGAAGCCCAAATCGCAGTTTTTGTTGAACATGCTTGGTTTTTGTTCCTTCCATTCCATGGCAGCATTATAAAAAATAACTTGACCTCCAACCTGAACTAAAACCGATTTCAACCAGGCCTCAGGATACCAGGAACCATCGCCTCACCTTGACACTGTTATATAATGTACAGGTATATCTTGGTCCGTTCCCTTGCTTCAGAAAGTGGGCCCCACGATGTTCATGTAATTTTTTGCTTGGGATTTGCCTCTACAAGTACATGTCAACTTGCACAAACTCCTCATGCTAGATCTATATTTCCCATAGACTTCAGAGGGAACCTGTTTAATTGGTTCTTCGATTTATCGGAAAATTGGGAAAAAGTTCCCGAAAAATATGGAATAATAATTTATTTATCCACCTCAGGGATCCAGAAAATATCAGCGCAAAAGAAAAATACAGAAAAATTTGATCGTCTGGAATTAAAAAGGAGCCAAAAATTCAAAGATTTAGCTCAAGATTCAACTCATCCTGTGCACAGATAACAACAACAAAAACTTATAAAAGAGGCGCAAATTATCATATTTGTGATTCTGAATCAGGGTAAGCTTAAAATAAAATATATCTTCAATTTTCATATGCACAAAAAGTCCGCTGTGCACAGCAAAAAGCCTGCTATGAAGAAAAAGCCCGCGTTCTTTAAAATTAAAAATAATTTTCCTAAAAATGTTGGCACATCCGTATACTGAAGCGTCTGTATGCCTGGACCTCACTGTATAATGATTTTGCAAAGATTAACCATACACAATACAGTACTGTATTTACCTGTACCAAAACATTATGGTGATAGCAATAGAGGACGTCGACACTCAGACTAAGAGACAAGCCATGTTCATAGATGTCACCAGTTGCCGTGGTTGGTGAGTTTCTTGCTTCCGCCGTTAATGTTACCTACATTACAGTGCAATGCTGTAAATTTGTACCGCAAATATATGGAACCATGGCTCAGACACTCCGCACAATAGAGATGCACAATCAAAATTTTCCAAGTCTAATTTCAAGTGACATGCTTACAATTTTTAGTTGGGGAAACAATAAGCAGCATTGTTATTGTGGGGAACACAGAAGAATTTCAGGAAAGTGATTTTAGGGGGGGGGGGGTAATATTGGATGAGTTGAAAGGATGTTGAACTGGGAGTCTGGGGTACATTTGCCTAGTTAGTCTTTCATATCCTTTCAAAACCGCATTGTTCTTCTCTTCTGAGTGTCAAGAAAACATTGGCCTGCAAAAGGCCTCAGAAAATCAGGATCATCAAGCCTGGAGAGGAAAAGCCTTTGAGTTAGGAAGGTTTTCTATGCATTGCTTCAATAAAAAATTCATATGGACACTAAGAAAATAGTGGCTAATATATGCTGGAAGTACTGTACAGTATTTGACTTGGGGAGGTTCAATAAGTTATCAAGGGTCACCCGTAAATTTTAGATTAAAAGAGCAAATATTGCAGTAACATGCATAAAAACAATTGATGACACAACAAATGCATAGTTGACACACTTTTGATTGAGAATTGAGTTATTGCACAAGTCCAGCACAGTATAGGAAGACGAAGCGCAATAACTTCGCACGCTTGAGCCGCGCAGCCAGGAAGTTCCTGCACAGTTCTCAGCTATATGGGAGGCTGAACCCAGGAGGTGCCAGCAGATGGCTAGTCGGCTCTCGGCTGGCCCTCGATTGCTGAGGAGCAGTGTGTGAAGATACACGAAGAAGTTGTGCACACGCGTATGAAAGGAACACGGGGACAAGGAGTATGGTGGGATGGAGCAGGGAAGAGGAAGACAGAGACAAGGAATGCCAGCACAAAGGACAAAGGTGAGACTGGCCGCCGGCAGAAGACGCCACCAGCCTCGGCGGCGCAGCAAAGGCGCCAGATCCTGCAGTGACTCAAGTTCAACCCATGCTGATGTTGATCATTTTTGCAGGTATAACGTGGTTTCTAAACCTAAATACTTTTCTCCATGGTTGTATCAACACAATCACCTGGCAAACTTTTTTCTGCAACTTGTAAGCTTCTGCATCAGAAGAGCTTCTGAAATCTCCTCAATCCTGAACCATATCTCAGATGGAGATTAAATGCATTTCCTGGCTTGTAAGGGAAGGTATTTGAATGCTTCAAAGAGGACACAATGTCTGTCCTATTATGCATGGCGCTTCAGTACA